GAACTTGGGAAAACAGTTTGTTTTTTGACAAATTTCTGTTCTTAGTAACTTGAAGAAGCTGGTCCATCCCTTTGAGCTGTAATTGCATTTCAAAGCTATTGTCCCTGGTGGGGGTTTAATTAGTTTAAGGCTTCAGCTTTTAAGCAGTTGTTTATCTAGCAACTGAAAGTGAAGACATTGACCTAGGAGGCAGCTCCCTCTAGTTTTCCTCCTGCGTAGCAGTGTCTTTGAGATTCTGTCTTTGTTTTCTGCTCCATGCTTTCCTGGATGCCCATCTCACTTAAAGGAAAAATAGAATACAAAAACCCTAATCTTGTGGGGTATGATAGCCCATGCTTCTAATTTTAGCGTTTGGGAAGTGGAAGTAGGGAGATATGTAGATGTAAACAACCTTCTTATTAAATAAGAAACACAGAACCAATGCAAAGAAGAAAGCCAAGAGGTCAGAGCTAAGAGCTAAAACCTTACCCTTCCTCCTGCGGTGGTCCTACCTCTCCGAACCAGAGCTACCCCTGTGTTAAAGTTCCTGTCCTGCCTTCTCATTGGTTGTAAACCCAACCACATGACCGCCTCCTCACGGCCTGTCTGTTTAGGCCTCCAGGTTTTCCATGATTGGTATTGAGATTAAAGGCATGTGTATCCAATAATGGCTGTATCCCTGAACACACAGAGACTTACCCAGCTCTGCCTACCAAGTGCTGGAATTACAAGCGTACGCCACCACTGCCCTGCTTTCCTATGGCTTGCTAATAGCTCTGACCCCCGGGCAACTTTATTTATTAACATACAAATAACATTTTAATACAAATAAAATATCATCATAGAGATAAATTCAAGGCCAGCTTAAGCTGTGTGAGACTCTTTAAAGAGAGAGGTGGTGGGCTGTGGGGGTGGAGAGGGAGAAAGGCAAAAAACAACAACAACAAAAAACTAGACTTAGAGCTAGAGGACACCCCAAACCTGGGGCTGGCTTTAATCTTGGCTGTTCTGTTTATGAACCAGAGTTCCTGCTAATCTGACATTACAGATATCTCTAATAACAAATGTGGTTGTTGTATGACCTCCCCAGGCCCACCATCCACCTCTCCTCAGGTTTTGTTTTGTTTTTTGAGACAGGGTTTCTCTGTGTAATTTTGGTGCCTGTCCTGGATCTTGCTCTGTAGGCCAGGCTAACCTTGAACTCACAGAGGTGTGCTTGGCTCTGCTTCCTGATTACTGGGATTAAAGGCGTGCACCACCGCCGCCCGGCTCAGTTACGCAGTTTATAAAACATGGTTTGGTGACAGTGGCGAGTAGCTTACCAAGTTAGTTACGTACTTTTTGCTGAAAAGGATATTGGTATTTTTAGGATCCCTACTTTGAGATACATGGAAATCTTGAAAAAATCCAGGAAAAGGCTAGATGTGGTGTTACATGCTGGTGATCCAAGCACTTGAGAAGCAGGAGGGTCAGGAATTTAAGGTCATCATCTTTGGCTATATAGCAAGTTCAAGGCCAGCTTTAGTTACATGTTATTTTGTCTTTTAGTTAAGGTGGGGGGAATAAAGGAGGAAAATATAAAATAGGCCTGTTTATGAAGTTGGGGTTTGTTGGTTTGTGAGGATGGGCATTTGGACCAGACTAGAAAACCAGGCCGGAAAGCTAGGGAGTATGGCATACACCTTTAGTACCATTCAGGTATTTTCTACAACTCCCTAGACATGTGTCTGTCCTCTTGGACTTAGGGAGTCTACAGGGTAGCATGCAGCCTACATGCCAAAGCATAATGCAAGACTTAAAAATCAACTGAGAGGATATAGTTTGGGATTTGGGTCCAGAGCATGTTCCATTTAGCAGCCACATGCATATGAAAGCATGTGACTCGTCTTGGTATCCTAAGAGTGTGCTCCAGTCTGATCATGACTCATCTAGAATGGCCCCCTAGTGGTGGTGTAAATGAAATAGACAAATACATACTAGTTATACTAGTATTTGGTCTTGTAAAGGCCTCCACAGTTTGCAAAGTTCTTTTATATGTATTGTCCCAAAGCTCAAGTGAGGAGAGAAAAGATTGGCAGAACCAAGCCTGTGAGTGCTGGTCCCTCCACAGTGCTCCTTCGAAGAGGTGCTCAGTGAGTGCTTCCTGGGCAGTTGGGTTGGAGGCTCCTAACAATCTGAGGGAATCCACCACTGTCCTGTCCTTGTCAGGTAAATGCAGAGCCAGCAGCCATTACATCTGAACTACCATCTTTCCTTCCCTCTTTCTCAGTCCACACCCTGGGCCTGGTTGTCTCCCTGCTGCCAAACAAAGTAGCATCTCTCTGCATAGTTTTAAGCAGGATGAGTTAGTATCTAGTGTCACATAGGCACCTTGTAAAGTTTGTTTGTGGATAGACAAGGAATTAACCTTTGAATTACTTACCATCCAGGTAGGAGGATTGTTGTAGCTGAAAAATGGGGAAGCATTAAACATTTCCTGTTGTTTATGGAAAGTGTATTGGATGTGTTTGTTCATGGATATCTCCTCGTGTCCTTCACTGCTTTATAAATGTTGGTGTAAAAGTAAATTTAGTAGCAAGAGCCTGTCTCGTCCAAGTCAGTTCTATAGCTCACACCAGCCTCTTCATTAGTAGAAGCGATATAAGCTCTGAGCCCTTGCTTTGGGATAGTACAAAAAGATAACATTTCTTCAGCTTGCATTCCTACTTAATTCTCTGAAAAGAAGCCCCTACCCCTCAGTATTAGGCAGAATAAACAGGCCGACGGATGAAGGTTTTTATACGTTTTGCTTAGAGACTTATTTAGTACCTTCTGAAACTACCCTAGGAGATAGATTGGAGTTGCATGAATACAGGGCCAGGAAGTACAAATGCCAAGACCAGACCACAAACCTTACCTACTGGAATTAGCATCCTTTTTCCCTTTTTCTTGGGCCTTATGCCAGGGTGCAACTGTTCTGCACAAGGGCTCTATGGGGTGATGTAGCTGGAGTTTTCCTGCCTGGCCCACAGGACAAATCTCTATCACCTGCCAGTCCCACAGCAGCTCAGACCCCACCAAGTAAACACAGAGACTTATATTGGTTACAAACTGTATGGCCGTGGCAGGCTTCTTGCTAACTGTTCTTACAGCTTAAATTAATCCATTTCCATTAATCTATACCTTGCCACATGGCTCGTGGCTTACCGACATCTTCACATGCTGTTTCTCATCGTGGTGGCTGGCAGTGTCTCTCTGCAGTCAAATGCTCTACCACTGAGCTATACCCCCTGGCAGTGTCTCTCTGACTCAGCCTTCCACTTCCCAGCTTTATTCTCCTCCTTGTCCCGCCTACACTTCCTGCCTAGCCAATGGCCAATCAGTATTTTATTTATTGACTAATCAGCAACACATTTGCCATACAGAACATCCCACAGCAGGGTGACATAGATTTTATTTATTTATTTATTTATTGATTGATTGATTGATTGATTGATTGATTGATTGAAGACTGAGTCTTTTTGGTTTTCCTGAAATTTACTATGTAGACCAGGTTGGCCTTGAATTTACCTTCCTCTGCCTTCTGAGTGCTGGGATTAAAGACATGCTCCATTGTGACCAACAGGATATACATTATAAAAAGTTAAGTATAGGGGCATGTACTTGTAATGTCAGTGCTAGAGGAAGCAGACTTAGGCTTGCTGGCTGGTAAGGTCAGCGTACTTAGTAAAGAAAAAGCAGGTGGACTGTACCTGAGACATGATAACTCAGTTTGTCTACGGACCTGCGTATAGACACACTTACAAGAGTAGTTGCAAACTCGTTTATAAGCTATACTGATTCTGAGTTGGTATCAAGTGAATAACTAATTAAATTCTAAAGACCATTCTCGGGTAAATTCGTTATCTCAACTATTTAAATTGGCTTTAACTCTAGGAAGCAGTGATGGAGCTGACAGAAATGGTCTTTAAAAGTGTTTAAATGCCTCTTATTAGCAAGTTAACAGTCTTAACAAAAAAATTTTAGCAGGGTCTCGGTTTCTGGTAAAATAATCTATATTCATCCATGAGTTCCTTAGCCTACAGTGGCTACCTGGTAAGCTATGTAAGCACACTTTTTACAGAGTGGCTAGCTTTAGACTTTCTTTAGACTTTACTGGCTGAGTTAGGAAAGATGAAGTACATCTACATCAGTCTAAGCTTTTTTTGTTTTGTTTTATTTTGTTTTGTTTTTCAAGACAGGGTTTCTCTGTGTAGCTTTGCGCCTTTCCTGGAACTCACTCTGTAGCTCAGGCTGGTCTCGAACTCACAGATCTGCCTGGCTCTGCCTCCCGAGTGCTGGGATTAAAGGCGTGCGCCACCACTGCCCGGCGCATTTTTTTTTTTTTTTTTTAAAATAGGAACTGTTCTCTAGCAAAAATCTCTTGAAATTACCATGTGTCCTTTTCGTGACAGTTCTGCATTGGAGGAACAAAAAAAAGCTGTAGAAAATTATTAAATTTAGTTTTTAAATGGGGTAACATTTATGATAAATATTTTAAAAGATACAGGGTTAAAAAAAATGGAGTCAGGCCTGGAGAGATGGCTCAGCAGTTAAGAGCCCTTCCTGTTCTTCCAGAGGACCCAGGTTCTATTCCCAGCACCCACATGGCGGCTCACAACTCTCTGTGATTTCAGTTTCCTGCTGCAAAACACCAATGCACATAAAATAAAAATAAATAATTTTAAAAAATGGCATCAAGAGACTGGTTCATCCCGGCCTTGCTGTTGACTAGCATTGTGACCTTCTAATGTTGGTTTTTCCCATATGCACTATCATGTGAGTACCAAATGAGGAGACATTGTAAAGCACCTGGTATAAGATTAGCCAGCAACTCTTGATAACGTAACCAGAAAACAGAATGCACGAACAGGAAGGATGGGTGCCATAGGGATGAGAATGTAGAAAGGCAAGGAGCAGTCCAGGTTAGTCAGGATATGGGCCATGAATATTCCTCAAGCCTAGCTTGAGAACCCAGTTTCACATTGGCATTATCTTTTCAGGTGTACACCATGTCCTTGAAGATTCAGACCAGCAATGTAACCAACAAGAATGACCCCAAGTCCATCAACTCTCGGGTCTTCATTGGGAACCTAAACACAGCTGTGGTAAAGAAGTCAGATGTGGAAACCATCTTTTCCAAATATGGCCGTGTGGCCGGCTGTTCTGTGCACAAAGGCTATGCCTTTGTCCAGTATGCCAATGAGCGCCATGCCCGGGCGGCTGTGCTGGGAGAGAATGGACGGGTGCTGGCTGGACAGACTCTGGGTAAGTTACCCTCTTCTGTCCTCTGAGTGACTACTGTCTGGGAGTTTATGACTTCAACAGTTATAAATTATATTTGTAATTAATTCTTAAATGATTGCCTATAAGGGATTGTTATAGATGCCCCTTTTCTCCTGCCCTTGCTTTCCCAATGCTTCTTTTTTAAAAAATTATTTGTGTTTCTGGGCATGGTGGCATGTACCTTTAATCCCAGCACTTGGGAGGCAGAGGCAAGTGGATCTCTGTAAGTTCAGGGCCAGCCTGGTCTACAGAGTGAATTCCAGGACATCCAGGTCTACACAGAGGGATCCTGTCTCAGAAGGAAAAAAAGTATGTTTGTTTACACATACACATGTATATATGTAAACCATGGTTCCTGTGTAGAGGTCCGAGGACAACTTTATGGAGTTGGTTCTCTTTCTACCTTTATGTGGGTTCTAAGGATCAAACTCAGGTCAGACTTACTAGGCAAACACCTTTCTCCCTGGTTTTCATAGCCTCTTTTTTTTCTCCCCTTAAATTAAAAACAACATTTTTTCATACAATATATTTTGAGTGTTTTTTTTTCCTGTCTCCAACTCCTCCCAGTCTTACTCACCAATCTAATTTTGTTTTTTTCTCCCTCTTTCTCTCAAAAAAAGAAAGAAGTTAATAAAAACAAAGAAAATCACATAGCAAAAAAGAGCCAGAGAGATAAAAATGCCAAAATGAAACAAAAAGCCCCCCTCTATAAAAAACAAACAGAAACCAATGGGTTTAGTTTTGTGTTGGTCATCTGCTCCTGGGCGTAGGGCCTGCCCTGGTATGTGATTGATACACCCACTGGCACTGCATTGGAGAAAACTTATTTTCCTTTAGCTGGGAGATATCAGTTGCAAATAACTTAACCTCTTGTAGTGCTTCGAACTTGAACCTCCGGGTCCTATGTGTGCTGCCATAGCCTCTGAGTTCATACGTGCATTAGTCCTGTTGTGTCTGGAATACACTGTTTCTTTGGAGTCATCCCTCACCTCTGGTTCTTGGAATCATTTCCATCTCCTCTTCTGCATAGATCCCTGTGCCTTGAGGGTAGTGGTTTGATGAAGACATCCTATTTAGAACTGTTTGCTGCAAAGTCTCACATTGTTTAGTTCTGGGTCTCTGTGTTAATTCCTGTCTCTTGTAAGAAAAAGCTTCTGAGGTCTGGGCTGAGCAAGGCACTCACTGATCTACCCTCATAACCTCCTAATAACAAGTTTTTGGTTCTAGTTAAAATCCAGATTCTCCATAGAAAGAGAACAAAATGGACTAGTATCACCTGTTACCTCAGTCTCAGACGATATGGGTTAGAACCCTTCCCAAAAGCTGTGAGGAACTGTGAACACAAGGACTAAAGGGAACTAAAGTGTACTCTTGGCTTTATTGATTACACGTGCATACAAAGTGACTGTTGGTGTCTACCTTACAGGGTTTTTATGTGTGTATGCTTGCTTGCTCACATCTTTGTGTGTGCTTTAGAAGGTATATCTATATGTATGTATTAATGAATATTAGATATGCTCATGTGATTGAATGTGTAGAGAATGTGTGAGCACATACTTTTGCATGTGTGTATGACTTTCTTATCTGGATATGTATATGTGAGGATGTATGTGTTTATATATACCTGACTTATATGAATGTACTTGAAAATATGTATGTATATGGTATGTGAAGATTTATATATGTGTCTGAGTGTATATGAGTATGTAACCAGGCATATCCACGTGATGTACTGGTTTCTTCTAATGTTTGAAAATTAAATGTTGGAAGACCTTTGGCTACCTCACTTCCGTGTGTGCACTGTGTAAATACGTGGCGGCACAATGGTGATGTGTGTGGGCATACTGCTGTCATGTCGGCATTCCAACTCTGCTGCTTCTTTCCACACAGATATCAACATGGCTGGGGAGCCCAAGCCCAATAGACCCAAGGGGCTAAAGAGAGCAGCAACTGCCATATACAGGTGAGGCTCTATGTCTGTTTTTTTGTCTGCATTGGTTGAGTCCCTCTTCATAGAGGGCATAAATGCTGACGTAACAGTGTGCCGAGCTTAGAATTTAGGAAGACATTTGGAGGTGAGGACCTATGGAGAAGTGGGCTGAGTGGCCATCTCCCTTTGTTTTCCTAGTGGCTACAGCTTTGACTATGATTACTATCAAGACTACTTCTATGCCAGGTGAGCAGGGAAGGGGCGTGTCTAGGCATTAAATAGCCAAACTGGAAGGGTCTTAAGAGATTGCTAGTATAGCTCACAAAGTCCTCCAATTGGGAACTGAAGCATAGAATTGTGAATGGGTCTTTGCTTCAAAAATCAGGGACAGAGCTAGGACTAGGGTCTCATTTTGTAAGTGCTCAGGCCAGAGCACTACTGTCACACCGACTCTCACATTCTGACTGCCTTGTCTCTTCCTAGTCCTGTAGTGTAGGGAGTGTATAGCTAGAGGAGGGACACACCTGGGCAGCTGCAGTACAAAAGCAGGCGCAGTGCTTTCACAGGTAGTTCTTGAGCCCTTAAACCCTTGTTCAGTCTCTGTTTCTGTAAGGTGCTCACAGCCAGAAAGGAAGCCCACACAGATAGTTTGGTCTGACCCTAGTGACTAAGAGGTCACAGTTATTTGGAGGCCTGAATTAGTCCCTGATGGGTTGTGATCTGCCTTCTGTCCCCATCTATCCCCAATCCTACCTAGACTTCAACCTTGAAGTCTGTTTCAGAGGCCCCAGCCACATTTGTTTGTTGATAATGCGTTTGTAAAACTTCTCAACATCTGCCTGTTGAGTGTGGGGATTACAAGACTAACCACAGTGCCAGCTCCTGGTCATGTGTTTGTCTAGAAGTTGTGGTAAAGATTAAATCAAAGCCTCTCCTTCCTTCTCCAGATAGCCCAGGGAAAACAACTTTTCTGAACTATTTTCTTTGTTGTCAGTGTTTTCAGGAAATAATGTGGTACAGTGGAAAGTGTCATAACCCGGAAGTCACAAGTCTTGCATGCTGATCTCAGTCTTGCCACTGAATGGATTATCTGTCTTTGGGCAAATTCTCCTACTGCTAGTCAGTAAGATAGGCTTATACCAAATGGCCTCTCAGGACTCCTGAAGCTCTTGCAGTCCTATGATTCAGTGATCATCACCTCCCCTTGTTGGTCAAAATGAAGGATCAGGGATTTGATTCTTTCCCAGAGACTGAATACTAGATGCCACCAACTGCAGGACTCTGAACAGGAGCACCAAGAAGTGGGACCTTAAATTTCCTAGTGATGGCAGGTCCTCATCCAAAAAGTAGTTGTAGAGTATATCCCTGACCAAGTCTGTGGTTCCCTTCAGAACCATGGTCATAGCAGATGTGGGAGAGTTCTCTCCTCAGCCTTCAGTTTGTCTCGTTTTCAGGAAGAGAAGCCCTTCTGGAGAGGGCCAGGTTATGTGACAGCACACAGTCTGGGAACTTTGAGTCTGATTTAGTGCCCATCCTTGAAATACTGTGGAGTGCTTGGCCTGTATCTCTGAGAAAAAAAGGTGTTGAAGTGGTCCACAAGGAAAAAGTGGCTTAGAGTCTGAGGCCATGGGTTCCTCGATTGAGTGTGTCAGTCCACTGGTACCCAGCTGTCACTTGTCACACCTTCTCAGGTGTTTGTAACCAGGTTCTCAGGCTCTACCCTTACTGCACACTCAGCTAGACAGTGAACTTGGACAGCCCTCCTCATTAAGTAGACGGGACAACCATGGTTCAAGGGATGGCCACCTATTTTCAAACCCTTCTTTCTCTTTCCAGGTGGGGATTTATGCTGTTTTGACATTTACAAATTAATCAAAGGTTGGGGTGGCAGTTATTTGAGTAGAAGGCAGGCCTGGATGTTGCTGACCTCAGAAAAGGCTCCTTTCTGAGAACGTGCTGTTTGTCCCTATACTGCTTCTCCTGGCGTGGCTGGGGATAAGGTGGAAATGGTAAGGCTTTCATTAGCCTTTAGGATCCCAAAAGCCCTTTTCATACCAGGGCCTGTTGGAAGCAGACACTTCTTCCGTGGCCCTTTCAGGTTCCACAGGTAAAGCTAGTGTTGTAGTGCCTCCTGGTGGTCACAGGCCATGCTGCAGCCTCTGGTCTATTTGCCTTCGCAGGCTGTTTGATTATCGAGGCCGCCTTTCTCCAGTGCCTGTGCCCAGGGCAGTCCCAGTGAAGCGACCCCGTGTCACGGTCCCTTTGGTTCGCCGTGTCAAAACTACAATACCTGTCAAGCTCTTTGCCCGTTCCACAGCCATCACTACTGGCTCAGCCAAGATCAAGTGTGAGTGACTTTTATTTATTTTTTTAACTTTGAGACAGGGTCACTGTGTATCTCTGGCTAGTCTGGAACTTACCATGTAAACCAGATGACGTAAAACTTGAGTTCTTCTACCTCTGCCTCTTGAGTGCTGGAATTAAAGATGTGTGCCACCACGTCCTGGTGACGTCTTCCAGTCTTTCTAGATCGTTGGATCTTGAACCCCTTTGCATATCAAACATTTACATTATGATTCATAGCAATAGCAAAATTACAGTTATAAAGTAGCAATGAAATAAATTTATAGCTGGGGGTCAACACAACGAGGAACTGTATTAAAGGGTTACAGCATTAGGAAGGTTGAGAACCACTGTTCTGGATGGTTTGTTTTTTATCATCACTAAAATAATAGAATCACTTTTTTTTTAACAATTGATTTTTAAAATTTTAATCTTTATTTTTGTTTTATGTGTATGGGTGTTTGCATGTATGCCTGCACCGTGTATATACAGTACCTGTGGAGGCTAGAAGAGGGTGACGGATCCCCCTTGGACTGGAGTTACAGACAGTTTTGAGCTGTCTTGGAGGTGCTGGTGATCAAAGTTAGGTCTTCTGCACGGGCAGCCAGTGCTCTCAGTCACTGATCCATCTCTCTAGCCCCTAGAATCATACTTTATTAACAGTGAGGAAATAAAGGAGGAAATCTCCAGTAGAAATTACTCATAACAGTCAAGTGTTTGGATGCATTTCTTAAAAAAAAAAAAAAAAAAGTCCAGTGCTGTGGTGTGACACCCACTGAAGCGGTAGCATATTTTTCTCTAGTAAGGATAAGTAAGGACAGATTTATTCTGGTCTTTGTATACTGCAGTCAGGAAATCTAATTGCAAAAGACTTTTTTTATGCCTCTAAAAACAGACCCCACCCTGTAACACAGCTGAAGACATGTGTCATTACTTAGGTGTTCATAGAACGCACCACAGACCTACATTGTTTTTGTTTTTGAGACAGATTTCACGATTTAAACCAGATTAACCTTGAACTCACAATCCTCCTGTCTTAGCCTCCCAAATGCTGGAATTGCAGATGTGCTGCACACATGGCCCAAACCTTAGAGGTAGGATTGAGAGGTCTAAGACAAACAGCCAAGTTCATAAGTATGGACTGGTCACCCCTGGGGATGACCTCTTGGTTCTCTCAAGAAGAGACCTTTTCTCTTGGCTGGAAAAGAACCAAAAAAAAAAGAATGGCCTCCCCTGTTGACACAGTGAGGCTGGGGTTTTGTTTGCATTGTGCCCCTAAGTGATAACGTTGTCTCCTCTCCGCTCCCAGTAAAGAGCAGCGAGCTACAGACCATCAAAACAGAGCTGACACAGATCAAGTCCAACATCGATGCCCTGTTGGGTCGCTTGGAACAGATTGCTGAGGAACAAAAGGCCAACCCAGGTCAGCTTTGAGGGCAATGCTTGGGAAGTGAGTGTGCCCAAGGGTTAGGGCCCCGAGACCTGCTGCATAGTGACCAGCTTTCACTGAGGTGTGCTGAGTAGCTGCTCTAGCTGAACACTAGTCCCTTTTCTACTTCTGTGTCCTTCAAGATGGCAAGAAGAAGGGTGACAGCAGCAGTGGCGGAGGAGGTGGCAGCAGTGGCGGAGGCACCAGTGGCAATGCTGGTGGTAGTGGCGGCAACAGTGGCGGCGGTGGCAGCGGCGGCAGCAGCAGCCGGCCCCCGGCCCCCCACGAAGACACGGCCTCTGAGGCAGGCACACCCCAAGGAGAAGTCCAAACTCGAGATGATGGTGATGAGGAGGGACTGCTGACACATAGTGAGGAGGAACTGGTAAGGGCCTGGCTAGCCATGTGACGTGGAAGGGCTGCGGCTGCTCCCCCATAAACTCCTTCCTTTCTGCTTTCCAGAGCGTCAGTCCTGTGAGGGGTAGGAAGAGTGAGCAGTGTATAGAGTGAGCACTGTTTGAGCTGCTGGTCAGAAGTCCCACTGAAGACTGGGGCAGACCTCAGCAAAGCCAGGGCCCAATCTGTCTTCTAGTCTAGTCTAAGAAGAGGAGACTTGAGCCTAAGAATTTGCACACACAGCCTCTCAGGGAGGGTAGGGGGTGACAAGGGAAGCAACGGGAAGATGGGAATTTTAATTTCACAGCAGAATTTTCTAAAAGCTGAATACTGGAGTATTCAGGGTAAGGTTAGGAGCCATGAGAGTGGGCCTAAATTGAGTGGAAAGGTCCGATTCTTTCAACATTCAAGATGCCTGCGACAGTGTGTTCGCTGCTTGTTTAGTGAACACTGAGTTGAATATCATCACACTGTGTAACTTAACAATAGTCCTGAACTGCACATTAGATAAGAATGGCCACCTTTACCATGAAGAAGCTGAAGTACAGAGTTGCCAGGTACCTCACTCAGGACCTTACAGCAAGTAAGAGCAAGACCTGTCTTGAAGCCTAGAACTTGACTGGGTCTGGAGCGCTTTCCTTTACCCACTGCTGGCTTACAGCACGAGGATAGACTGTCTGTGATGGGTATAAATCCTCCTTGTGCTCCGCTTGTTTCTATTTTCTTCCTTTTTTTAAGCTACCCTGGTGTTTGATCTTACTCTCTTCGGCATAGTACTCTCAGTGAAAGCTCTGAAGACTAAAAAGTACCCCAAAGTTGGGCAGCCCACTGACCTATATGGCTTTAAACTTACTGTAGTCCATGGTCGTTCCATGCATAGAAATGTGTCCCTGATATACCAGCATATCCCATGACTGGTCCATTCCATTTCCTGCGGGATCTTCAGATGACCCTCTCAGGATCCTAAGCCAGTTTTTTTTTTGGCTCGTTTCCTTTCATTAGACCTCTTTTCTAATGGTCCTCCAGGTAGTACTCTGAGCCACAGGACCTTTCTGAACAGGTAGCTCAGGGCAGAACTTGGGACCTGCAGTGAATGATCTTCGCTTGTCTTCTTCCTCTCAGGAGCACAGCCAGGACACAGATGCAGAAGATGGGGCCTTGCAGTAAGCAGGTATGGGGGTGCCTAAGGAGCACAGGAAATCAATGAAGTGGAGGTTGCAGTTTCTTCCCGACGTGGGTCTAGAGAGCCATACTGTGCCAAGGCTGAAGGTCCTCATGTTCAGCCTTACTCCAGTGGCCACGTATATCAGGGCCACTCAGAAAGTGTTCCCTTGGGAGCAGGATGACAATGGAGGAAAACTGCACACTGGAGGTGGTGGAAGAAATGCTGTGCAGCTTAGTGTGTGTATTCCAAGAGGGAGAGCAGATGATCTTATTGGAGCACAGCATTCTACAGTCTTCAGCAGGGTGCAGTACAGGACAGGAGCTGCCTGCTCTGTAACCCAGCCCTGCGGAGTAGGGGAAAGTTGCCATTCGTTTTCAGAGGGAGTGACTAGGAAGTGTCTCATGGGCTAGAAGTTCAGCTTAATTCTGTTGAGGGAGGAGATGCTCTGCAAGCCTATATGACAGGAGCTGTTAGTTTATCTGCTTTCCTCTTCGACCCTGCAAGATTAGGATTGTGTGTGTATCATAGAAGTGGAAGTGCAGATGTTGAAGGGTAGAATGAAATACTAGTATGTCTCATGAAAATCCAAGATAGTAATTAGAGCTTAAATTTGAATTTAGTAATATGCAGCCCCAAAGCCTCCACTCTGGCCACTGTCTGTTATCCTGTTCTGCTCTACCCTAGAGGTTTACAGGTGACAGAGAGGTGCCTTGATAGATCACACATTTATAATACAGCATCTCTATCAGTAAGAGCTTCCAGGTTAGTTTAGTAAATTCCTCATAAGTCTTTCCTCTTGGAACTTGATGAATTTATTTTTACCCAGAACACTGTTTATAATATATTGTGAAGCTAATTCATGTTAGGTATTGAGGCTCAGATGGGGAGTTAGCTCACAGAAGGGGTTGAGCCTTTCCCATGTTTAATTACGTGGTCAGAAAATTCGGCAAGGTGCAGACATAGCTCTGCAGACAGTCCACCCCTTTTCCTTACCCCCTATGATCAAAGAGTTTCTCTCAGTCTTAGTTTCTTCTTTGCCTTGACAGGAGAAATGGCCACCAGCAGAAGGGCATCACTGTCTCAGGCCTCAAGCCAGGCACTCATTTCTGGATGCCAGTTTGTAGCGGGTACCAGAGGAAAGCTGGCAGCAGGCACTCCTCTCCCCATGCATCCCAGCCAGTGAGTGCTACATCCTTTGCAAGTGGAGTTACTGGCCTACCCTTACCCCATGCACTCTTCCTGTCTGCACTGCCTGGGCCAAAGGGCAGAACACATTCTGCCCTTCTTCCCCAGGGCATTCCTAGGCTTGGGGTTTTTCTATAGGTTTGAAAGTAGGGGGGTGGGGTGGGGTGGGTGGGGGGAACCTCAAAATAAAGAGATTGGATCCAAATATGCTCTGAGATGGAATGGTTTGCTTATTTGGTTGGTTGGTTTTGTTTTGTTTATATTGTTATTGTGCATGTGTGGTGTGGGGTGGTAGACCATGTGCATGTCAAACCATGTGTGGAGGTTGAAGGACCACTTTGTGGAGACAGTTTGCTCTTTCCACCTTTAGGTGAATTTTGGGGATTGTCAGGCTTGGGCAGGAAACACTTAGCCATTGAGCCTTCTCACTGTCTCTTTTATGAAAGAACACTATGACCAAAAGTTGAGGAAGAAAGAGTTAATTTTATCTTCTACTTCCAAGTCTATCATTTGGGGAAGTCAGGGAGGAACCTGGAGGCAGGAACTGATACACAGGCCATGGAGGAGTGCTGCTTCCAGGCTTGCTCCTCATGGCTTGCTCAGCCTTTCTTAAAGCCCCCACATTGGACTAGGCATTCCCACACCAATCTGCAATCAAGAAAATGCAGCATAGGCCAGTGTGGTGGGGGAATTTTCTCACAATTGGTTTTCTTCTTTCCCAAAAACTCTAGCTTGTGTCAATTAGACAAAGCACACTAGCCTGTGGTTTTTCTCACAGAGGTACTCTAGCCTTCTGTCCACCAGAGAGCTGGTATGCTCAACCCTTCTGTTCTGCCATCACTAACTTCTCTTCTCCAGGAACATTGTCACCAGTGTCCAGTAGGATCCATTTGCGCCAGGATTCCTCTGCTAAAATGATTAGAGTTAGGTGTGATGGCACGTGCCTATCATCCCAGCACTTGAGTAAGTGGAAGCAGAAAGATCAGTTCATGGCTGGTCAGGACTCCATGAAACCTTGTCTCAAACAACAAAAAACAAACCCCCACAAATGTACCATTTTTGGAGCATCTATGCAAACTCTAAAATCTAAATAGCTCAAAGCACGAAATAGCTTTCTTTCCTAATGGTATGTTACAGGAGGACTTTTAAAATTTAAACTGGGCAAGGTAGCATGTAACTGTAATCCCTAATTTTTTTTCCTTTTGGTAAACTTAGGCCTTTTGTTTGTAAGATAGCTCAGACACTGCTCTGACCTGGCGTATGTCTTGCTCCTGTTCCCTTTTTGGGAAATGGCCTTGATTCAGCTGTTGTTCTGGTCATTTAGGGATGTATTAGGGTTCTGTACTAGTGGACTGCTCTTTAGGAACTAAATGTTCCCTTCTTGGAAAGGCCTTTCCACCTCAGGACCCAAGGGTGGACCTGCGTTCTTACTCAGTTTGCAGGCCTTCCCTGCTGGATCCCTTATTAAACATTTCCAGTTCTAGCTACCAGCCATACAGCAGCTTCTGTTCTGGTAGAGGACAGATACTGAATGTGGAGTGTTCAGGAAACCTCTGGAAAGTAGCTCATGACTCAGCCACTGCTTGTATGAGTGGAGCTTTTTAGATTGTTATGTAGCCCATGGTGGGCTTAAAGTTCTGCCTCAACTTCCTGAGTGCTGGGATCACAGGAATGTGCCTCCACACCTGCCTCTTTAACTATATAAAACACACTTGCTTTAGCTATACTCTCCTTTTGTAGTATTGGCTTTCTAGAGGGTGTGTGTTGAAAGAGAAGGGAAGATAGAGATTTCATGGGTATTCTGCTAAATTCTTTAAAGGTATAGTTTATCCCTTACAGTCTTCCAAAAGTGGAGATACATCCTGTTAATCTACTGGGAACTGACATTTTCCCACGCCCATGTCACTTGGGAATCATGATGCAAATCTGTACTTGTAGCCTAAATGACTGAAGTACTGCTCCTGAGTTTTGAGTCTCTTGGGCTTTCCTCTTCTGTACATTTCCAGTGTTCTTTGCAGACTTCCTCTACTGCCTGTACCTTTCTCCACCCTTTGCCTTGGAACCTAACCTTTGGCATCAGACTCTACTCTGTGGCAGCTGCACTGTGCTATCTTTAATGACCTGAGTCAAATCCTACCCTGTCCAGCCCCAGTTAGTCTTTTTCTTTGTGAACCCTCGTCTGTACAGTTGCCACCATTCCCTACCCTGCTGCCTAGGTCCGTATCCTCCACTCTTGAGTTTTTCCATGGTAGTCTGAACTTTTAACTCATTAACCTCACTGACTTAAGTTTCAGATATGTTCCTCTCTTGCCATTTCAACAAGAGGTTACCATCTATAGAGTCATGTGATTGAGTTGCATAAAACACAAAATGTCTTTTTTTCGATGCAGGGTCTCTCTGTGCCTGTCCTGGAACTCACTCTGTAGCCCAGGCTGGCCTCAAGAGATCCACCTGCCTCTGCCTCCCGAGTGCTGGGATTAAAGGTGTCCAGCAAAATGTCATGTTTTTAAAGCAAGCTTGTAATTTGTGTTGTACCACATTCGCAGTTATCTTTGACTGGCTTGCTTGCTGGTCACAGGTTAAACATGCCTAAACTCTTTTTCATATTACTTAGATTTTTAAAAAGTTTCAGCCGGGCGGTGGTGGCGCACGCCTTTAATCCCAGCACTCGGGAGGCAGAGCCAGGCGGATCTCTGTGAGTTCGAGGCCAGCCTGGGCTACCAAGTGAGTTCCAGGAAAGGCGCAAAGCTACACAGAGAAACCCTGTCTCGAAAAACCAAAAAGTTTCATGTTTTTAGGTGTATGACTTTCATTTTACCTGTGAGGGCATTGGGAACTGGAGTTAGATAGAGTTGTGAGCTGCCATATGTGTACTGGGATTCAAACTCGAGTCCTCTCAGAGTAGCCACTGCGTTAAATCACTGAGCCACCTTTCCAGCCCTAGACTCTTTACAATAACCTGGGCTCTGCTGTTCCCCCTCCCTCCTGTTTTTTGAGGTAGGGATTTAGATAGCTTCTAATCTAATCTATACCATCTATATCCAGGCTGGCTATGAGCTCTTGATGGTATTGCCTAGGTCTCCAAAATATTGGGGGTTATAGGTGTGTGCTACTACCACACACAGCTTTGCCCTTTACCAGTCTCCTAATGTTCACCATTATGAAGTTGAGAATTGTGGTTGAAGTCACTAGCAGATACCAACCAGTCAAACTGTCCCATGCCATCCCCTAAGGAGTCCCACCAAGAAAAGAATTGGACAGAACATACAACACACAAAATCAATGGAGCACTATTTATACAAGAGGCACTGATCCTTGCTTTATTCACGCAATAATAGCCAACATTGGGAATTAGGGGCAGAGGTACAAAAGAAAGAAAAAAGATGAAAAAAAAATTGCAGTCATAAACAGTTGTGATCAACATGGCAGTGAGTGGTGGCAGGTCTGTCAGTATATGACTAGCTCATCTCTTGAGGGTTGAGGGAAAGTTCCCTCTACCACTTCGCAGCCAAGTTACTTGGTAACACTTGGCCTATACTTGAAAATTTCAGGGTCACAGTAATTAAAAACAACATTGTCAAGACATCAGGGCTGGGTGAGTGACTGTTCTTGGGCTGTTTAGCAAGATTAACAGTCTGGTGGCAGGAAAGTGAGGAGCATCGTGTATGTCCTTATCCTGATGGATGCAAGTAAGGCAGATTACAGCACAGACCCACAAGATGAACCCTCCTGTGCATCGATGGGAAATACCTCGCTAGCTCAGTCCTCAGAAGCAGAGCTGGAGGTAATAGCAAGACCACACGCAGCAGCATCTCTCGGTTTCTTGGCCACATTCAGGTTAGTTTAGTACAGAAAAGCATTTGAGGGGGATCTTTTACTGACCTAGAACACAGGTTGAAGAAGCTTCCTTAAGTGCTGCTATTTAGACCCTAAGAAGACTTCCCTCTACTACACATGCTTTCTCAATAACAGAACGGCCTAACAAACTTTAGTATGCCAGGTAGAGGACATACAGGCCTGTGACAAGAATTCCAAGGACGGGGAACCTAGCACCTGGTAGTTCCCTTGTGTGACGAAGCTGATTCTTCAGCCGAAGTCAGTTTCAGCTGTTGTCACAGGAGGGAAATGAGGAATTGGCAGTGAGGTAGTAGCAACAATCCTCACAAAAGGAAAGAGTCAAAACCTTCATTCTCTGGATACTAAAAACAGGCTGCTGTCCCATGTCTTAGGTTCCAACCACTCAAGTCATACCCATTCTAGCTATGTAGCTCAAGAGAAACTGAAAGGGAAAATGGCTGCCCAGCTCCAGTATCTGCCACTATTCAGTTTCTGAGGACAGAGAGAATTTGCCAAAGTCCAGGAACCAAGTTTGTTGTTGTTTTGCCAAATTCACGAGCATTTTATTGTAGAAAAGAAAACTGAAGGACAGATCAAATTGAAAGAATCACTGTTATAATAACTTTAATTTATCTTGCATTTTACAGAAGTCTATGAACGATTTTAAAAAGCACCTCCTTACCCCATCACGTTTCTCTGACAGTTGTTAAAGTAGGCAACAAGTATGTCAACAGCTTGAGTATCGGCATCTTGCAAGGATTTCAGATCAATCACTCGCCAAAGAACTTGGTGGCTTTTCTATCTTGTTTTTAATCAAATGGTACGTCCACTCTGATGGTAACCTGTTCGGCCAAATCTCCACCACACATTTTGGAAAAATCGATGGTGATTAGCAAATTAGTTAGCTTTGGCACGGAGCTGTGCTCGCTTGCCCGTGACAGCCTGGAAGCCAGTTTTGATACTGGCAACAGAGCATCGAGAATGACAAGTTTCACACTGTAAGAAATAGAGTCGGGTGTCCTTCTGTAGGATCGTGTCCGGTGATCGGCATGTGTGACAAGTGACATATTCCTCTGCAGGAAAAGCAATACAGAATTATCTGCTAGACACAGTAAGGCAGAGGCTCCTGGTTGCCCACAGAAATGCATCTATCTCATAAGCTGAAGCTCAGAGGACAGTTTACCCTAACCAGGCAGGAAAGCCTAGATAAACATAGCTATTCTAGGATAAAATACAAACTAAGCTGTCTGTTATGCTTTTGGCAGTAAGATACATGTTGAAAGGACTTCAGATACCCCAGAGTTAGGAAGTTTGCCAGATGCCTATTCTTGGTGCCATCTATGGATGATCCACTTTTGACTTAGGTGAGAACAGGCAGGACATGCCAATTTTAAATGATTAGGTAACAAAAGAAGGCTGAGACAGTCCACACCAGAATTAGAGGCAGGTTTCTCTGACTTGATCAGCCAGCCAGCAAAGGCTGCATCAACTGGGCTTTCTACTTCCTCACTGTCATTTTCCATCTTCTCCCCACTTTTGGGAGGTGGGGTGGGGTTTGAGATAGGGTTTCTCTGTGCAGACCAGGCTGGCCTCAAACTCAGATCTCTCAAGCACTGGGACTAAATATGTGTGCTACCACACCCAGCCCCATTTTCCATCTTTTTAAGGTTTGTTTTCCCAAGTTTATTATAAATGGATTTCAGAACACCACAGCCTAAAGAGAACATTTCAGAATGACAGGATAAAGTCCAATTATACACTTACTGATATATCTTCTCAAGACATTTTCTATCTGTTTCTGTTGGAATCTTCCTTTGATTACAAGTTGGTTATTACCATCTATAGAACCACTATGAAAGAAAACAAATATCCCCATTACTTTTGTTTTCCTGAGGGAGCCCAATTCCAGCACCTGCATACCTTAATGAACTTAAAATATATTCAATAGTGTAGGATAATTTCTAGGGTGTTACACTATCTAGTTCCTCAAATTTTTATTTATTTATTTATTTTTTTGGTGGCAAGAACTTATATGTCCCAGGCTGGCCCAGAACTTCTGATCCTCCTCTGCCTTCCAGGTGCTAACATTACTCGTATGTACTGCTGTACTTTGCCAATTTTTTTTTAAGAATTTATCTTTTGCAAAGATTTTATTCTTAATTTTGTGTATATGTCTGTGTAGAGTTATGTGCATTTGAGTGCTGGTTCCTGTGGAGGCCCAGTGTTGGATCTCCTGTAATTGGAGTTATAGGTAGTTATGAGCCGCCCTGTAAGTACTAGAACCCTAACTCAAGTCCTCTTCCAGAGCAATATCTGCTCTTAACTACTATCTCTCCTGCCCCTCAAAATTATTACTGAGATAGGGTATCACTGTGTAGCCCTGGCTGTCCTGGAACTCGCTCTGTAGACCAAGCTGGACTTGAACTCAGATCCACCTGCCTCTGCCTCCTGAGTGTTGGGATTAAAGATATGTGCTACCATTGCCAGGCTCCTTAAAATTATACTCATATTTCTTCATGTAATCCAACTTCAGCTATCTCTAGTTAACAATCAGATTTCTATGTCCAAAACAAACTGATCCCTCAACTGTGTGGATCTGATTGCCTGTTCAATATAAGAAAAAAATTTTTAGTGAATGCATAAACGAGGGAGGTATAAATGTAAAAAAGGTTGTATGTTATTTTTAAAATTTTGAAGACAAGCATGGCAGTGTACACCTGTACTCTTAGCATGTGGGAGGCAGAAACAGGGCTACCACAAGTTTAAGGCAACCAGGGGCTACATAGTGAGACCTTTTCTCAAATATATATATATATAATAATCTAAGCCAGATAGAGTGGTGTGAACCAGTAATCCCAGTCATCAATTAGCTTAGGCAAGAGGATCCCTACATGAGCCTAGGAGTTCAGAGCCAGCCCTGTTAGATAGACATTATTGCTTATTAAAAATGATAAATCACAAAGTAAAACAAAATTAAGTCTAGTAGAGTTAAATTTGTATTTGTTCCTATCTTAATAAAGTGGATTTTTGCAGATGAAACTGATTTTCCTTTGAGGATTTACTATCACATACCATGAATTGTAACCCTTGATCCCCCTCTACCTAGGGTACCCTGATTCCAAAGTACGGCATTTTTTCACTGTCTAAAAAGGAAGAAAAAGAAATGGGAATTTTTCCAACAACTCTGAAATATTTAACCCACTAACCATAAAGTTCACTAGTCACAACTTGCCAGAATTTACCCCACCTCTATACCAAGTGCAGGATATTCTGAGAAGTAAAATACATGGCTAGCTTTCTTTCTTATGCTTAAACAATGAGTGTAATGTAAAAACCACAACTGTAATAATCCTCTGGAATTAAGATGAATTCTTTTTCTGAGTATGTTCAAATTATACAAGTGATTCTTTTGAAGTGTCAAACTACTCTTTTTGCGTACAGTTTCTTACCTTGTACCCAATTCTGCCAATAAAAATGCAAGGAGATGTTTGGGTTGACGATGTAATCTAAAAAAAAAATCAAATACTTAATTTCATGGAAATCTTAAAACAAAACAGAAACCATGCTGTTCATTATTTTACTGTGATTACTCAGTTATTAGGAGAATCTTAGTGCACAGTTCACTTGTGCATAGAAATAAGTAGCACTAGCTATAATCCCTATATCCAAGAGGCTGAAGCAGGATGATCAACCTTAAATTTCAAAACTCAGCCTGGGACAGTGAGTGCCTGTTTTAAAAACAGACTGGATAAACAGCTCAGTAGTTAAAAAAATTAGCTGCTCTTCCAGAGGATGAACTAGGTTTGATTCTCAGCACCCACATGGCAGCTCAACCATCTGTAACTTCACTTCCAGGGGAGCTGGTTCCCTCTTCTGGCCTTGTTTCTAAGCATACATGTGGTACACAGACATACATACAGCAAAACACACATACACATTAAAAAAATAAAAAACCAACAAAATGATATATGCTGCTTTACAGTTTGGTACTAATTAAACTATTATGTGCTATTTCTAAACACAAAATACCTAAAAGCATGAAAGCAAAACATTAAAATCATAGGTAGGCTATGATTATCTACCTCCTAAGAGTGGATTTACACATAATCTTTCATTTTCTTACTGTATCTTTTCTAATTTCTAGTAAACATATACTATTACTGTCATCAAAAAAGTAAAATATTTTGAATAATGCTGAAAGTAATGAAAATGGGTTACCTCTTCTGTAACAAGTAAGTATGACTTACGAAATTGAAAAACAGTAGATAAAGTGAGTGGATAGAGAAAATCTACCAGAAAGGGCACAGCTGAACAAATCTGAAAAAAGCCAGGCTCAGGCAGTGACCTGGGACTGACCCCAGCACAAGATGCAATGGTGATTAAAAACTAAAAATTTCTTCCATTGGGTCCTGACAATCAAGGAAGCTTACCTTCAGCTACTTCCCTAGTTCACTACTTATTTGGCAGGCCCACCCCTTGCTTGAGGATTATATCCATCCTCTTCACTCCTGACTCTGGTTAGTATCTACTCCAACCCACCACGTGTATGGGTGTTTTGCCTGCACATCATAGTCCCTGGAACTGGAGTTATATAGAAACAGTGAGCTGCCGTGTGGGTTCGTACCAGAGTCATCTCTCCAGCCCCTAGGATCCCCTCTTATCAGTCAGTATTAAACTTACTCTTCTCATCTTTAGATGCCAAGATAAAATGTGCTCTGACGACAGACAGACATGAACTGTGACTGTCAACCTATGCCCTACGTACTTTTCCAACCTATAGAACCGTAAAAACATTTAACAATAAAATACGGTTGGTATTTGGAATGAAGGGTCTCCACTAGCAAACTTACAGTTTACAGATATCTGTAAAATTGACAAAAGAAGTTTTCTTGGTTCCTACTCGGACAACCTGTGGAGGTTTCATAACAAATTTCCTCTTCTCTCCAGCAACCATATCTGGATTCTTTTCTCTCATGATGTTGAACACTCGGTTCAGCAACTATAAGGAATGGGAATTCAAGCACATTCTTAGTAATAGCAAGAGTATAAAATTTCTATATGAGTTGGATGGTGGTGGACAGGCCTTTAATCCTAGTACTTAAGAGGTAGAGGCAGGCAGATCTCAATAAGTTTCAGGACAGCTAGGGTGGTTACACAGAGAAACCCTGTCTTGAAAAGCCACCCCCCCCCAAAAAAAAATCTATTTAAGACACTTTGCTTTAATAAAGCTATTATATTTTTATTAAATGTACACATAAATCTCTACATGTTCTGGGAACTTCTTGAGGGCAGAAGCTCATTACTTACCAATATCTGGGCCTTAATGAATGCTCAGTTATTCCTTGTGAAGAGTTAAGAAAATAAGCCCTGATCATTCTACTGATTTTACAGAAAAACACGTGACACATGGGAAAAAAATGACACCACAAACGAGCAAACTCCAGACTACTATGACCACAAAGTGGACACTTATAACCAAAGCCCCACTGATTCCCAGAGGGCTCCATACCCTCTGGTGAATACTAGTGACAGCCACATTTTGAGCATGCTGCCCCACAAGTTTGGTATCATGAACTGTCATGCACTGGCTACATGGCCTACTGGAATCTGTTTTATTGCCCATCTGTATCTCAGTGGCTCTTCCAATGCAAGGATCTATACCTACTTTTCTCTGAACTCAAATGATAGCCTTAACTCCCTAAAAAAAAAAAAAAGTCTCACCTCCTCGTATGTGTAGTCTCTTTCTGAGCCTGCCCAAGCAGGCCCAGTCTGGTTACTGAATGAAATGCCATCGTCTTTTTTGCTGTCTTCATCTTCTAAACCTGCAGATAACAAAGAGTATGAATGATCAGTAGGCTTTGATCCAACAAGGGGGAGTACAGATCTAGAGCATGAAAGCTTCACATACTGCTCTTCCCTTTCACAGTGATAGCTGCAATAGCTTCAAGTACAAAGGGACCACAGAGAAGCCTCCTTTCCTTTATAGACAAAAATACTACAACTTCACACAAGATCTTCAATGAGACACCCATGGTAACTATGAAATGTTTCTTACAAACACAAGACAAAACAAAGCATTAAGTACTTAAAGGAGAGTCCAACTGTTTTCAAACCCTATAAAAACCCATCTGTTTAACCGTTAAAAATTTTCTATATAATCTATATATATAAAACTATAAACATTAAAGATTTTAAATGTGTGGGCAGCAGTGGCACACCGCCTTTAACCCCAGCACTCAGGAGGCAGAGCCAGGCAAATCTGTGAGTTCGAGGCCAGCCTGGTCTACAGAGCAAGATCCAGGACAAGCACCAAAACTTGTCTGAAACCCCATCTCAGGGAAAAAAAATTACAGTAATTTTCCTGTCTGAATCAGAATGATTTTTGTATATAATTTTTACTATACTTTAATAAAATGAATTTTTTTGTCTACCATTATCAAGTTAAGACACTTTTTCTTCCTTCCCGCCCCAAGACACTTTTTTTTTTTAAAGATTTATTTATTTATTATGTATACAGTGTTCTGTCTGGATATACACCTGCAGGCCAGAAGAGGGCACCAGGTCTCATTACAGATGGTTGTGAGCCACCATGTGGTTGCTGGGAATTGAACTCAGGACCTCTGGAAGAACAGCCAGTGCTCTTAACCGCTGAGCCCCCAAGACACTTTTTCATTATCACACAGTGGAAATAAAAGGCACAACAAATATTTTTTAAAAGCTTCTCAAGTCAGCCAAAGAGACCCAGATCAAAGGCTTATGTAATTTAAAACCAAGATGTTTAGTTCCCAATGTTACCTTCGTCTTTTTCTAGTATTTCATCTTCATCTGGGAATTTGACATTCTTCTTTTTCTTCTTTTTATTGCCAAGCATAATATCCAGGTCATCCTCTGGCTCAGCTGGTTCTTGAGCATCACTTTCAATCTTAAGATCCTAAGAAATTAACACAAGTCTCAATATATTAATACTAGAAACTATTTTTAATGACATGGCCAAGAATCATTTTAGAATATTCACATAGTCAAAGCTAAAATTATAGATGAGAAATACCTCTCACAGATAGGCCAAGCTGCCTCAGACTCTGCCAAATACTTAAACTGTACATTCCTCCAGACAATTTTGTGGGATTGTTCCCCTTTCTTCAGCTCTTCCTTTTTATTAGTCTCAGGATCTCGTTATTAATGTCTGTATTTTAAGCAGGCTTTACCTGACTCAATTGAGAAACTTGAATATTCTTCAATCTTCTGACTGGCAATATTCAGCAGGACGAGCAAGGCTCAAGAGTATTTTAAGTTTCTCTGCCATCCCACACTGTATTTTATTCACATTAAATGTTCAGAACAGGTAAATCTACAGAGGCAGTAGATTAGCAGTAGCTGAGGCCTCAGGTTGGGGTTTAATGAGAACTAGAGAGTGACAATGATCACGGGCTTTGTTTTCAAGAGGATGTAAGTGTTCAGTTACAGAACTCCGAATATGCTAAAAAACGTTTACTTTAAATGGATGAATTATATGCTAAGTGAATTGTACCTTAATAAACTTTCTTGCTTCAATGTAATGGATTTTATTACTGCATTTGCAGATATATTTGTTTTTGCTGATCCTTGTCCTCAACTCTTCCCATCCCCTTTAAGTTTCTAAATATGACAGTCAATGGAAGGAATTTTCCTATTGACACCAAATACATTGTTATCTTTTGCACAATTCTCCAACTCCCCAATGCAAATTAGGTATAATACTGATTACCTGGAATAATTAATCAGATACCCTATGTGTAAAAACTTGACTTCACACTTTAAGGGCTTTCATTTCAGACACGAGTAGTAAGTTTCACTTACACTTTTGCTAAGCTACAAATTCAAAGACCTTCGGCCCCTATTCAGTAATTTGCTAAAACTCACAGCACTCAGCAAAGTTTTACTTATCATTTATATATATATAAGATTAACTGAGGAACAGCCAAATGGAAATAATGTATAGAACAAAAAAAAAGCCAAGTATCTAAACATGCTACCCTATCAGCACTTCTGTGAGGTTACCAACCTGGAAACTTTTTGAACTCCATCACTTAGGGGTGACAGAACTTAAGTGTCCACACTGTCCATCCACAGAGGTAGCAGGGGTCGTTCAAAGTTCCAAACTCTAGTAATAGTTTGATCTTCCTAGTGACTAACCGTCCTGAGAAATTATATGGACACTAGATTTCTCAAGAGCAAAAACAAGTATTACCTTTGAAGACTGCAGGGGTTTTCAGGAGTTGAATGTGGGGATACCAGAGGTAAAGACCTAATTATTTTTTATTATATTTATCACATCAGCTTAGCACCAAACTGAAGAAGTTGCTGGGTATCAGTTCAATAGATGACATCATGAAAAAAGGAAAGACACAACTCATGGGGAATCAGGGTCATGTGATGAATGGATAGACATGATACAGCCTGACTCCAAGGTTACTTGCTGTAGGCTTGAATGTGAAAAAGGCACATTAAGTCTTAAGAGATGAATCATAAGTTCCACAAAAGAACAGAGGCTCAGCATGTTTCTTGGCCTCTAGTTTCTCACCAGCTTATCCTGCTCAAGTATATTGTCAACATGATCACAATTACATTTTTTGTGTGTCTGTCTTGAATGATTGTTGACAATGGCTAATTTCACAGATCTTAGCAGATAACTGAAATAGGTAGGAATAAGTGAAACTCAAATATGAGATCCTAAATCTAGCTGTGTAGTTTTGGTGCCACATCAACCTACAGTATTAACTAGATGCCCTACAAATAAAAGATCAAATAGTGGACCTAGTCTCTCTCTCTGATGATCAGTAAATAAGAAACTGAGAACTGCTGAATATAAGCAAGCACACACCAGCAAGGTTGTAGTCATCCACACTAACTAACTAGGATACTTGTAACATCCTTTCAGGCTTTAACTCCAGAAGAGAGAAAAAAGTATCACAGCATTTAACAGAAATGGAACTCATCAGTAACCTTTTGGGACAAAAGCTACTAGAGGAAATCAACCAACAAAGTCAGGTATTAACCAAGACCACAACCATCTGTAACTCCCAGTTCCAGGGGAGCTGATGACCGCTTCTGGCCTGAGGATGCTGCATGCATGTGGTGCACAATCACAAACAAAACACCCATACACATAAAATAAAAAATCCTAAAAATATTTTTTAAATACTCTAAATTATCCTTGAAATACCTCTGAGGAAAAAACAAAACCACCAGTAAAAAAATCTTACTCATTTCAATGCAAATTGAGCACACTAACTCAGTGTAATTACCAATACAATTTGCTGAATAGAATGTCATCTAAATTATGACCTTATTTCCAAATAGACTAAGTAAATTACCTGTACACGTAGGCTACACTTTACATACTTGGGTTTCAGCAAAATACCAAAGAAAAACTTCAGTACATAGTAAAAATCAGAGCTTTTGATATATGATTGTTTATGCTCTTTTCACTATGAACATATATTTATGAATACATACACACACAAAATTACTATATGTTCTTTTTATAAATAAATGCGTGAGCTTTGTTAAAGAGATTTCTGCATAGTCTCTGTGTATGTGTGTGTATATATGTGTGTCAGTATACACTTGCCCATGTTTGTGTGTTAGAGGCCTGAGGTTGACTTCTGAATATTTTCAATTGCTGCTCCATGTTATTTTTATCGACTGTCTGGACTAACCGTGAGTCCAGGGAACTAACTACCTGTTTCCACCCTGCCCAGTATCAGGGTTAGAGGTGCATGCTTGCCAGGCAGGCTTTTATGCCGGTCCTGTTGATCCAAATTCAGGTCCTCATGGTTGCCCAGTAGACACCTCAGCCACGGAGTGCTCTCCCTAGCCCCTATCTTTAAAATGGTAGCTCTTGAGCAAGGAAGAATAGTCTTCCAGCTACTCTGTTCATCCACCTACCCTCCTATTCACCTTCCTGCTTACCTATCTACATTTTATTCAAATAACTTTCAGATTTTTATATTGGAAATCAATGCAAGAGGATGACAATTATAGTTTCAAGTCCCTACAAGATCAAGAGCACTCTACACAGAATTACCAAGAGAATCCTAGTTTTCCTATAGAATTACTGCCATCAGCTACCAACTACCACACTGGGGGATGTTCTTTGCTGGTACTGAAAGTTTAACACAAAAAGCTATATTATGATTTGTTTTCAAGATTTCTCAGTTACAGAGATTTTTTTTTTAAGATTTATTTATTTATTATGTATACAATGTTCTGCCTGCATGTATATCTGCAGGCCAGAAGAGGGCACCAGATCTCATTACAGATGGTTGTGAGCCACCATGTGGTTGCTGGGAATTGAACTCAGGACCTCTGGAAGAGCAGTTAGTGCTCTTAACCTCTGAGCCATCTCTCCAGTCCACGGAGATTATCTTTTGTGAGCCAAACAATTTTAGCATGGTTAAAGACAATGGGCATTTTGAGTCCATTTTAATGACACAATATATAAGACCTAAATCCCTCTGACTGTACACACACATTTTTTTCTTTTCTTTCCTTTTTTTTTTTTGGTTTTTCAAGACAGGGTTTCTGTGTATAGGCTTGGCTGTCCTGGAACTCAATCTGTAGACCAGGCTGGCCTTGAACTCAGAGATCAGCCTGCATCTGCCTCCCAAGTGATGGGATTAAAGGCATCCACCACCACTGCCTGACTCCTATTATAATCTTTTATATCACGTAGATTCCTAAGAAAATTACCTTAATAGTAGTGGCTAAATGCTAAACAACCAAAGCAAAGATATTAAGAGATGAGATGAAGGAGGAAAACGGCTATTAGCAGTCTTTCCAGAATTCCAATTTTACCTTCAATAAGAAAGCTATACTACCTTTACACCTTCTTCAGCTTCATCGATATCAAATATCTTTTTTGTTTTTTTCTTCTTTTTCTTTTGATTAAAGAAGTTCAAGTCATCTAAGTCATCAGAAGCATCTAAAAACAGATTAAAGATTTCCAATTATTAACAATTAGAAGGCAAGACATCAAGTTATGAGTCACACCAACTACTTTTATGTATTCCCAGGGTAGTCCTACCACTACCACCAAAGCTATAGTTCTGAAGAAAGTGACAAACCAACTCAAAGCTTTCTAGAAAAACCTGGTTAGGGGTCTTGGCTGAGAACATCAAACTCAATAATCTGACCACGTAATGTCAGAAAGTGCTTTCAGACACCATCTCTGAGACTATCCAACTATACCTCTTTACTTGTGTCTACCCTGTCCCCACCCACCTTCTATGCCTCAATCTCTGGCTCCAGGTCTACCAAACCAGCATAGCAACTAAGGCTTCCACAACAGTGAGCGACACAACTACTCACCCTTTTTCCTACTGTCTTCTTCATCGGCTTCCACATCTTTGTCTTCAGCTGGTTCTGGCTCCACTTCTTTTGTTTCTGAAGGCTGGGTTTCTTCTGTCTGGGCATCACCTTCTTCATCTAACATAAAAGGCTTCTTCTTCTTCTTTTTCTTTTTGCTCATAGTAGGATCAAAAATCATCTATTTAAATTTAAAAAGATGAAGTGATTATTTTTTAATGATGCTCACATTCCAAATATGCTTTATTCTTAAAGAATTGGGCATATTAAAATCCCAAAAAGGGGGGCTTGGGAGATGCCTCAAAGTATCAAAGCACTCCCCCCCCCACGTGCTTGTTTGCATACTCTTTCAAATGCAACAGAAATACAATACAGTTTACAAAAGGTCCATCTAACTTCATTTACATTATTAAACATGGGAGTAGCCCACATGTCTTTTAATTTATAAGATATCATAAGTTATAATAACTTCATTTTTATTTCCATAAGTAAATCCTGAAGTTTAGGAAAAGGACCTTAGCAACAACTATGTTGTATTCCTCATTTATGGATGAGATCAACAATGTCTAGGCAGATGATAAACATTTTATTTAAGGTTGATAATCTAGAGTGGCTAACACCAGGAGACCTGAGACTTAGTTTTTAAAATTATCTGTTGAAGAGTGTTTAGAGGTAAATACAATCAAGATATATTGTACACGTGTATGAAATTGTCAAAGTGCTGAGCATTGGTGGTACACTCCTTTAATCCCAGTACTAGAAAGGCAGAGGCAGGCAGATCTCTGTGAGTTTGAGGGCGGCTTAGTTTACAGAGTGAGTTCCAGGACAACCAGGGCTACACAGTGAAACCCTGTCTCAAAGAACAGAAAGAAATTTAAATTAAAAACAAAAAGTATCAAAGAGTAAAATAAAATATTCTAAAAAAAAAAATCTTAAAATTTAGTTGAAGTTCATATCAATCTTAACTTTTAAGGAAACCTATCAGCAACCCTTAGTATAAGAAAAATTTCTAAGGAATCCTTTACTGTTTTTTGTTATGGAATGTGAAATATTCACTGGCTATAGAACAAGTGAAAAAATAGTTTCTAACCTGTAGATTATTTGTACTGATCCCTTGAAATAATTTGAACATATAAGGCATATTCCTGCTAGTGAAGAAACACAGTCTTTAGTCACACAGATTTGGATTTGAGTCCAAAGTATTTTTTTCCCTACCATGCTTAAACTTAGCATTTTGTTTATTGTGTAGTGATCAAAAGCACAGGTCTGGAGCCTAATTACCTTGAGCCCAATCCTGACTCTAACTTCTATGTGGATTAATCCTAAGCTTCATCTGTACAATGGAGATAACTGAAACCAACCAACCAAGTTACCAGGAGAATCAAATATCTGATTGCAATTATAACTTATACAACACTGATTCTGTCATCAAAATTTCCTCAACTTAGGGGGATTTGATTTTCCAAACATAACATAAAACTGTTTAAAAAAAAAATCTCCAAATTGATTCTAATAATTAACTGTAATTCCTTTATGTCCCAAGTACAGTAAGGAAACTAGTAAGCAGGACTGAAACCAAGCTATAGTGTGTAGTAAGGTGGAGGAGGGTTACTGTCCTCACAGGACAAGGTATTCTGCAAATTTTCACATAGCACCACTACCAAAAGCAAGTCCAGTGCTAACTTACTATAGGGTCTGAGGTCACTCTACATGGAAGGAATGCTGTACTTCAAACCAAAATCACAGCCCATGTTCATCAGATGAGTTGTGTTCTTGAACTAGGAAGACTTGGCACAAGGGCAAATAAAACTTCAGGCATTCTAAGTTTAATTCTGACAGTCTTACAATCTACTCATTTTCTTCAAGTCTAAGTTTCCCTGACCTACTAGTAGCTTTTTCTGAGTTTGTGATTTGAGACAGTCTTATGTAGAACAGGCTGGTGTTGAACTTGAAATTGAAGTACTGAGATTATAGGCACTCACTAATAATACACCTGGCTTAAATGCCTTGTCACCATTACTACTCAAGAGATCAAAGATGGGAGATATCCTAACATGATCAATGATAGCTTCACAATTACCTTTTCATCCCTGAAGAAATTTCTATTTAGGTCTATAATAGGTAGACTGTAGCCTAGTAAAGACAAGTAGTAAACAGGCAAAGACTTTATGCTGAAATAACATGTATTGCAATTACTTTCCCCGAGTACTTAACACTTACATGTTTATATACTAGTAATTGTGTTCATACAACCCTGTAAAACAGTTACATAAAAAAACCAGAGATCCTAAATCAGCACCCAAAGCAGAACTCCCCAAATCACCAGATCATACTTGCCAGCTTGGGATATACATTGAGACATTGGCTTAAAAACGTTTCACGTCTGGCCAGGCGGTGGTGGTGCACATCTTTCATTCCAGCGTAGGTAGAGGCAGGTGAATCTCTGTGAGTTTCAGAACAGCCTGGACTATTACAGAGAAACCTTGTCTTGAAAAACCAAAAACTAAAAGTTTCATATCTGACTTTCAAATTAGCCGTTGACTGCATTCCAAATGTTTTAATACTACTTTAGATTCAAGAAGAAAATGGTTGTTGACAATGTACCATTTAAGCCTTTTTCTTCTTTTTAAAGTTTAGCTTTGATGACAGTGGGGACTGAGGCCTTGTGCTTAGCACTCCGTGAAGAAGCTACATATTCAGCCTTCTTTTTACCCTTTTGGGGGTGAGTGGATAGTGTCTCACTATGTTGTCCTGCTTGGTCTCAAACTCAGAGACCCACCTGTCTTTGTGTACTCCCGAGTTCTGAAATTAAAGGTGTGGTCTGACTATAATCAGAATTTTTAATGTTTAAGTTTCTCTTGCAAAAATACCTCACTGGATCTGAAAACTCAATGCTCTAACGTCTTGTGAATGGGACTTAGGAGTAAGAAAGGTTTAGATACTGACATGCTTTGGGGGGGGGGGGGTGTCTAACTTGATGGTAGATTTGGATCCAGACTGGGTACACAGTAAGATTGTCTCAAAACAATAAAACTTTAAAATAGTCTGAACATTTCTGAATGCCTGAACATTAGGGAATCCTCCCCTCCTTATCAAGGAGCATCCACATTCCTATGCAATCTTTTAAAGGTAATGGTTTTACTAGGTGAAAAGGAGTCATGTTTTTACGGAGTTTGGCGCTTAACTACCAGGTTAAAAAAAAAATGTGTTCACTTTATATAAAGCTTAAATTCTAACACTTCCCTAGTCAACAGCACTCACTAGGTAAACCAGAATCACTTCCCATGTTCACCTCTCCCTTTACCAGTAAATTCCACTGAGAGTAAAGCCAAGGCTAGGATGCTAGTACCATTCAATTTACTGAATGGCCTAACCTCCCTGGGCCCTAATTTTCCACTTATAAAATGAAGTTGTAATGACAGATCTAAGGGCAGAGCTACATACTTCAGACTTTCAAGAGACTACTGCTGGTATAAAGGCAGGTTCCACCATCTTTGCTTGGTAAAATCCTGTTCATCCTCTAGCAATAAATTCTCACCCAACACCTTTCAAAAGATCTTGTTACCAAAAAATGACCTCTCAAACCACCCCTTCACTACAGGTGTTAGCTACCACCTGTTACTACACCATAGAAAAATAGACTACAGCAGTATATAGGTAGTTATTTTTAAGTTATGAAATTTGGAACATGAGTAGCAAGAAAACCCTTCCTTTCGGAACTTTTCTAATGCATCATACAGTAGTAGCTAAGCGCAATGTCTACCATGTCTTTCAGGCAAGAACCATCTAGCTCCTTCAGACTGAACTACTTAGTAAGCTTGGGAGAGCCTCCTGGTCACTTAGATGGAAGCAGTATCGCACAGATCTGGAATTCTACTACTAGCTCAGTCACTTGGAATCTGATTATAGGCACTGTACAACTCTGGTTTTCTCATCACTAAAATGGACCAACAGGACCTTATTTTATAGACCTGTGAAAATCAGCAAAGGACTTACTTCCCGCAAGAATCAATCTCAAATTCCTTAATGTACTTTTCTAAGCCCTCCATGAACTAGCCAGTATCTACTTCAACCAAACTGGTGAATATGTCACTTTCTTTAGGCACTTTTTCCATCCGTGACCATAAATGCTTTGCAATCAGTTTTCTCACTGGATGAAAAATTCTAATCATTTCTAGAGCCTACTCAAAAGCCAACTATGGAGAGAGCCTCCAACTGTTCCTCTCTCTTATCCCTCTCCAAGGTCCTGTAAGCGAAGTCAATCACAAATTCTTCATAAAGTACTTTTTTAGCGGGGAAAGAAGACTGGGCCCCTAGGTCCAATGTTAAGCAATATCTAACTGAGACAACTGCAATCCCTTTTTAAGTTATTTAATTTTATGTGAACTAGGATAAATCTGAAAGAGCAAAAAGTAAAATAAAATGTAAAAAAAAATGGGGGAAGGGGGCTTGAAATTTTTACTGAGATCCAAGCCCGGTAGAAGAAGACCCAGTCAGCTTCGCTGCCGGACCGCCCTGCTCACCTCGCCTTTTAAAGGAAACTTAGGGACTCGCGCCCGGAAACTTTCCTCGAAGGGTGGTCACTTTTTGAGACTAAATTATCTTTTTTTCTGATCCTCACACCCTGTCTTAAGAAATAAAGTCTCGAGCGGGGAAAGGGAGCGAGATATCCGCCCGGAAAAGCCAGCCTACAAAGTTTTTAATCTCGATGCTCCACCGGAACCGAGGGAAGCTTCCCAAGGCACCCTGAGCACTCGACACCGAGAGCTGCGACGGTTGTGCTTGAGAGGAATGCCGGGGCCGCCTGCCCTAATTTTGTTGAATCGGGGGAACTAACTGGGTATCCAAACCCTTCAGAGGGCGACTCAACGTGCTTTCCATTCCGAAACGCCGATCCCGGTAGGAGGCCGGCCTCGACGCCGTCGCCCTGAGGAGAGCTGGGTGCGGCCAAGTCTGAGGATCCGGAGTCCTCGTCGGCTCCACAGCTCCGAGCCGCCTAGGCCCGGCTGCTCCACATGGCGGCCGCCGACCGCTAGGCCGCAGGCCCGGCTTCCCACACTGGTGTGGGTTCGGCTTCCTGCCTCAGTCCTTAGCACTAGCTCCGGGCTCAGGTTCTCACCTCGTCCCCGGACATGGCTGTGGTTCGAGCGGGTTCGGCACGGATGGAAAGTCAGACCGGTCAGCTTCAGACCCCGGAGTCGGCGCAGCTCCCACCGAAACCTCTCCCAGCACCGCGCTAGGCTCTTGCATCAGCGAAAGGGAACGACACCCCGCCCTCCTCTCGAGCGTTGGAAGTGCGCCTGCGCAGAACTCGCCAAAGCGCAGGCGTGCAGCGGAGACAACCTCGCGTGTTTCTTTAGGCGCGAGTTACCAGGCGACATCCCGGCGCCAGGCATGTTGGGACTTGTAGTTTGCCTAGAAGAAAAGGGCGCTGGAGTTAAAGCACTTCCCGAGGTCGTTAGAGACTGTTTTAGCATCAGTCCGGAGGTTCGGATTCTTGTGCTGCTGGGTACCTCAGCGGTTCGGAAACCCCTGGGTTTCTTGTAGCGTGAATTTGGGGCCATTCTTCCGGAGTTAGGTTATGAGACTCTATAATATGAACCCGTGGGGCTAATTTCCCACAAATACCCCTGGGGCGTTCTAGTATTCTAGGAATTCTAAGAGAACTGGAGGCATGCACCTCATTAAAGGCGTTTTACTTCGTGAGAAGTTTAAGTTGCTGGCTTTCTACTTCAGAAGTGTCTTCCCTGGTTCCCCTGAGGTAGACCGACAAACAACCCAGCAAGCGACAGTCTGTCAGGAAGCTTCGAAACACAGTCATAACTCGCTTAATGAAGGGGATATGTTGAGAAATGTGTCGAGTAGGTAATTAACTTGTTGGCGAACCTCACACCACACAAGGAAAGACACTACAATGTCCTAGGCGATATAATCTGGGTCCGTGGTCATATATTCTTTTTTTTTGCAAAAGCTTCCTTATATGATGCGTGACTACTTGTTTATGAAGTCTTTGCTAGACAATCTGGATGCATCATCCAATTTCCCTGCGGAGACACAGCTGCCACTTAGGGAGGTCTCATTATCTTCAGTGCCATCCAGTCAAAAGATTGAGGATAGCCAGGCGGTGGTGGCACATGCCTTTAATTCCAGCCCTCCGGAGACAAAGGCAAGCAGATCTCTGAATTCGTGGCCAGCCTGGTCTATAACGTGAGTTCAAGGAAGCCAAGACTGCTGCACAGAGAAACCCTGTCTCAGAAAAACAACCCAAGATCGCGGAAGACTACCCTTGTAGTTAGACAAATTGGGCTTGTAACTATGAGGAACAGCAAGGCATCACTGTTCAAAAGAATGCAGTTTGGACTTCTCAGGTGGTTGAGGGGCAGGTTCAAGTAAGCAGATGCTATCAGGAGGTGGGAGTAATTATTAGGGTTTAATGCTTCTTCCATAAGAAGAATCAAGTGAGGATTGGTGAAAAGGCCCTCATTACACGAGATGGGGAATAATTAGTTATTTTTGTGGTTGCACAAATGTTCTTCTCGGTTTTATTTTTGTATTCATACATGATTGCAGGAGTTGTTTGTCTCTGTTTTTATTTACTGAAATCACAGGGTGGTCTGTCTAAGCTGGGCATGGTGGCACTTACCATTCTAGCACTTGGGAGATAAAGGCAAGAATAATATCAGAATTTCATGGCCAGCCTGGACTATATAAGATCCTGTCTTTAAAAAAAAAAGGGGGGGGAGAAAAAGAAAGAATAAGAAAAAGATCTTCTTATCAATCACCTTGCTGTGCACTAAGTATTAACTTATCCTAAAAATAAATAAGCTAAATTAAAAAAATGTTCTATGAAATTAGTTAGTTCAGCGCACCCTAGATGATAATATCAGCATACCTCCCCCACTATCCGAGGCTACTCTCCTCCTCATTATGCTTAATATGTTCTCTGCTTTAGGCCTTAAAATAACTGAGATAACCCACAAATTTTTATTTAGTACTCCCTGCTGCATATCCATTCCTAATCTAAGCATAGCATGTCCTTGCCTTGAAGGAGCTTACACTTTAGTGAGAGAGAGATTTTATTAGCCTCCTTTTCTGGATGAAGAAACTGTTGTATAGCATTGAAAAAATTACCCACAGTTATATACAGACGACAACAACAACAACAAAAAGAGAACCAAAGACAGTTTGATACTGGTGGCTGCGCTTTTAACCTTGAGAATCTGAGTCTCTGCCACCATACCACAGTCTTCTTCAGCTAGCAGCATCTGTGTGTACCAGGATTCCTCCACCAGCAACACTATTGGCGATTTGGACCAGACAACTCTGTCCAGGCTGATGTTCTCTGCAGTGAGGACATTCAGGACCTGCCCTATGGTCATAGATCCTAGCAGCACACTCCTTCCACTCACGGCGTTGCCAAATGTCTCCTGGGGGGTCGGGTACACATCACCCCTGATTGAGAACCACTTGTTTTCATATCTTAACCCTTCCTGGGTTGTTGAGCTAGAACAAATATTCCTGGATAGTCCTCAACTCACCAGGTTGGGAGGCCTTGAGGAAGAGAGAAGCAAACTGGACTAAGTTTCTGAAAAGCCTGTTTATTCAAAGATTAAAACTGAAAGAAAAGGGGGGAAATAAAGGAAAAGTGATAAAGTGATAGAAATGGAGAAAGGGAATTCACATGGAATCACCCTTCCATAATTCAGTTCATGCTAGCAACGTTAGTTGACTCCAATAAACACACTAAGGTAGCTGTGCTGTCTAGTTTGATGTCAGCTTGACCCAGGCTAGAATCATCTGAGAGGAGGGAACCCTGACTGAGTAAATGCTTCCATAAGATTAGGCTGTAGGCAAACCTGCAGAGAATTTTCTTAATTAGTGATTGATGGGGGGGGGTGGCAAACCATTTTGGTTGGGGTTATCCCGGGCCTGTCAGTCCTGGGTTCTATAAGAAAGCAGGCTGAGCAAGCCACATGAAGCAAGCCAGTAAGCAGCACTCCCCAATGGCTTCTGCATCAGCTCCTGCCTCCAGGTTCCTGTCCTGTTTGAATTCTTGTCCTGACTTCCTTCAGTGATGGACTATGATGTGAAAGTACAAGCTGAAATAATCCTTTCCTCCCCAACTTGCTTTAGTCATGGCTTTTCATCATAGCTATAGAAATCCTGACCAAGACAGAAATTACTACGACAGACCTGACCATGTTGGTTTTGGGATGATTGTGGAAGGACTTTGGAACTTTAAAAAGCCATTGAATGTTCCACACTTGGTGGGCTGTTCTGTGGGAGCTTGGAAAACAAGAATGTTGTGAGCAGTGCAGACAATGGAGGCCGGACTTGTGAAGTTTCCAGAGAGGACTGTGAACGTCTCTTAAAGATTATCAGGGCTGTGGCATATTTTGAGTTAAGAATCTGTGGTTCTAGTTAGCTGGGGCTGAAGAAACATTAGCTGTGATTAACAAGAGATGAGAAATATTAAAATAAAGCCTTTGCTTTACTGGGAAAATTGATACATTTCAGCTGGTGTCAAGAAATTAGGGATGATGAAGAGCCCAGCATCACTGAGATGAAAACTTCTGGGAAATGTTTCCTGAGAGTTAATACACAGAAGCCGTGTTCTAGAGGTGGCCTAGGTCGTACCTTGTGCTGGCAGTCAAACGTGGTACTGTGTAAGTCTTTCAGGTGGTACTACTTTGAAGGCATGAAGGGGTCATTGGAGAGCAGCTGAGGCTTGGCATTATGAGAATCCAGGACCATTGGTGAAGTTGCAGACTCAGTAGCAGTTGAAGCTCTAGGATTGAAGAGGCCATGAAGAGAAACTGAGGCATGGCACCATGAAAAGAGCCCAGGAGAGGCTATTGGTGAAAGTGAAGCCCAGTTGCAGCAAGGAACTCCAGCATTTTGGAGATGTCAGTAGTCTGGGGTGACCATGAAGAATAGCAGCAGCAGTGGAGTGGAGCCAGTTGGAGTTTAGAAGACAAGCTGTGTGTACTGCAGAGGGCAGAGCCAGAGAAGTGACCCAAGCCCCTTGGAGGAGCCCAGTAGATTGTGAATGAATCCCAGATATTGGACATGGAATTATTTATACTGTTGGAGTTTGGTTTTGCTTTGTTCAGATTGTGACTGTGCCCTGGTGTTTCCTTCTTGAAGAAAGAAAGTATTTAGCTTACTTTTTATTTTATAGAGCCCACAGTTGAGAGACTTTGAAATTTTAAAAGAGATTATGGATTTTTAAAGAGACTTCGGATTTTTAAGAAGACTGAACTTTCTTTTTTCTTTTTTCTTTTTTTTTTTTTTTGTGGAACTGAGAATCGAACCCAGGGCCTTGCGCTTGCTAGGCAAGCACTCTACCACTGAGCTAAATACCCAACCCCAAGACTGAACTTTTAAAGTATTTGAATTGATAAAGACTGGGACTTCTAAGTTTATAATATGTCTTATATTTGTGATATTTATTAATCTGAGATCTTGGAGATGAACCAAAAAAGAAAAAGGAAAGGTTATGTCTTATAAAGTGCTGTGTGTCAAGTTGAGGAGTCTGTTGTGCTGTCTAATTTTATGTCAGCTTGACCCAGACTGGAGTCATCTGAGAGAAGGAACTCCAACTGAGGAAATGCCTCCATAAGATTGGGCTGTAGTCAAGCCTGCAGGGCATTTTCTTAGTTAGTGATTGAGGGGGGATTGATTGCCCAGCCCATTGTGGGTGGGATTATCCCTGGGCTGGTGGTCCTGGGTTCCAGAGAGTAGGTTGAGCAAGCCTCATGGGGCAAGGCAATAAACAGCCTTGGTTCCTGTCCTGTTTGAGTTCCTGTCCTGACTTCTTCAGTGATGGACTACAATGTGGAAGTGTAAGACAAATAAATCCATTCCTCCCCTAGTTGCTTTGGTCATTTTTTCCTATCATAACAATAGTAATCCCAAGGAAGATAATAGTCTTTATAAGGCCTTCTTGTCCCTCTGCTCCCTATTTGGGAGATGTTGGTACACCTCGAAAATGGTCAAATAGCTTCTGTGAAAAAGTTTTTCTTTTCAGCATGGTACACAGTGTAACTACCCTCACCTGTCCACTTGAAGGAAGTTTTCCTTCAGAGATTTCATCTTTCTTCCAAGATAGTAGTTTGCTTTCCAAGAAAACTAGCCAAAGTCACAAAGCAATGATAGCTAAACTTTTCTAGTTTTTCTAAGAGATAAGAACCCACTTAGCATCAACACAAATAATCATTTGTAGCTCAATAGCTTTTTTCATTTAGCAATCTCTATAAAACATATAGGACATTTAGCAATTTTCAG